GGATCGGTGTTAAGTCTTTACGAATAACAACTCGCTTTGTGTTAACAAATTGTTTTAGTCGCGGAGCTGATTTTATGATAGAGTCCCTTTCTTTAACTGTTTCGGTGCTAACTCTAAGGGGGCGTGGTTTGCCAGCGGCCGTTTCCCTGCTGTATTTCCCCAGACGTCTAACATCTATGATCTTAGTGGGTGGAGCATCAATCTGTGTGAGTATTGCCTGAAACAAGTTAGTATCTTCCTCTTTCCTAATCTTCTCGTCTATGCTATCACTCTCCTGAACATTGAAAACCAAAGCATTCTGTTTTCTTACCTCTCTCTCTTCCATTTCACTCACACAGAGTCCAACATATTTGTTTGCATTTGTTTGTCGATCCACTTTCAGGGAGTCCAAGTCAGATTTGACTGCAGTGAGTTGTGTCTGGATGGAAACAACCTCAGACCTATCAGCCTTTTGGTCAATTTTGCCTATCAGGAGTTGTATATTGGTTGTAAACATTTCCATAGCCTTGTCTAACTTATTTTCAATGCTGGCAAGTCTATCAATGCCAGTTGGAAGCTGTGCCTGAGCCTGAGGATCTTTCAAACACCTGGGGCATTTCCACTGTATCTCAGGCTTAGATAATAACTTCTTTTCAGTTCTGTTGTATGGTAAACACCTGAAACACATCCACCCACCACATAAACCACACTCTAACATGTCAACCTTCGTGGAGTCCTTGTACACAGAGTTACATGGGCCAATGCATGCTGTTCCATTTGAACTCACTGAAAGTGAAGCGTTGGGCGGCAACATCGATAATGTATTGTCAGCCCTACCAGTTTGGCTCTGAGAATCAGTCTGGGAAATTACCAACAAATCGTCACTGATTTGACTTGCAGCCATGATTTTCACCTAGATTCTATATCAGTACAAGTTAATCAGTACAAGAAAGGTCTCTTTTTTCTTTTCTTTTTTCTTCCTTTAATTACAAAATTTAGATCTAAAATCCTTTTTATATACTTCTTAATAAATTAATCAAATTAAGTAGACCTATATACCAAGCACAGGAGCTAAATACTCAACAGTTGACAGTCAACAGTCAGACACACACAGTACTGCATGTGCACTGACACTATCATCCACACACACAAGCCCAATAATTTATACACAGACCAAAGTCAAAAAGTTGTCACAAACTCAAACATCCAGAAGCATATCTGGGACTATGGGGTCTGGAGAAATCAAGATGGCTGCTCTGGCCATAGACCGAAAGCTTCAGTGTCGATTTTGTCGATGTCGATTTTGACCCATAATTTCCTTAAAAGGGACCATTAAACGGATTATTTCAATCAAGTTAGTAAGTGGAACCGATGTATTATGGCCTAGGCCTAATGTAAAATTGGATATGCACGAGGTAAAATGACATTTTAGGGGATTTTGGGGGCACAACAATACGGCCGTGGCAAGTTTGTTCATGTTTGTGGGAGGGGCCTAACGGCTAAAATCTAGCCGTGATATCTTCAACATAGGCTGGCATAGGCGATCGTTCTGTCTCTATAACCGGAGGTCTAGTGGAGCCAGACGTAGTCTCAGTGGAACAACCGACGGTATAGAGACTGAAGCTTTCGGTCTACTCTGGGCATTGCAGAAAAGGAACAAAGAACTAGAAAGGAAGAAACAAACAAATTGAGAAAGATAGAAAGAAAGAAAGAATGAAACAATACTGAAGAAAGTAGAGAAAGAAAGAAATGAAGGAAAAGTTGGAAAATATCTCTTTCTTTGGCAAGCTCTGTATCCTGTACAAAAGTGGTTCAGCATGCGCAGTAGCATCGTAAGGTAATGGTTGTCTTTTTCAGCCATACGGCTGCATCTACGTTTTCCTTAAAAAGGGGTGTTTTTTCAAGCACTGATTGCACAAAACCCCCAAAAAGGGTACATTTTTAGGATCACAGGTTTCGGCGCTATTGTAGTTCCGTGGATCTATCCATTTTTTTTTAGCAGTTTCATATCCATTCTTAGCAAAGGAAATTTAGCCCAATTTTTCACTCATTTTATTCATAATCATATAGATCTAGCAGGGTTCTTGTTAATAGCCGGCAACCGGCTATTTTTTCCGGCTGTAACGGCAATCGTAGCCGGCTGTAAGCCTCTCCAAAAAAAAAAATAATAATACAAAAAAATTTGTGCCATAGTCCGGGGCTGGGAATGCTCAGCCCGACAGTCTGAAGACCAGCAGGGTTTGAGAAGTCGCTATCTCAAACCCTGCTGGTCTTCAGACTGTCGGGCTGAGCATTCCCAGCCCCGGACTATGGCACAAATTGGGTCATCCTGATAAACAGAGACCACTAATAAACAACATAAAACATGTCTTATTATTCCTCATCTGAACTTGATATCATGATTAACCTTGCAAAGTTACTCTGTGAAGATAGCTGATCTGTGACGTGTTTATATATGCCTTTGCAATGCAATGTTTGCACATGGTCAGGGAGAGAGCTCCCTGCATGTATCATTGCCATATGAAATTATGTGGAAGTGTGTATCACACACACCCAAGACACACCCTGCAATGAGCTGATCCAAGTTAGTGACCAATGAGGAAGGTTCTCTAGCTATGTGGGTGGAGTTTGATACCAGCATAAATTACAGGTTGGTGACCGCGCGTGCTTTCACCGTACCCAGTTCAGTGGGAGGTCAAGAAGCCACGCCCACAAGTGTGCATGTGACAAGCATGAGCTCTCCATCTGTGTGTATGTACAGTGTATTTGGGCGCCGGAGGTTCGCGTGTACATGTGTGTGTGACTGAGAGAGCAGGCATGGGCTAGCATGTCCCTGCATGTCCCTGCATGGACGAGGCAGGGACATGAGTAAGACAAGTAAGACAAGTGAGACTCGATAGAAAGGATGGCTGTGTTAATCGGCTGAATTGAAGAATGATCAAAAACTTAAATTACTCACAATATCCAAGACTTTGTTGATTGATATTTCTAAAAATTCAATTATTATTGTTATCAATATTTTTGTATTTTATTTATATATGAACATTATTTTAGGGGGCGAGTCGGCAAGGGATGGATATTAATATTGAGAGAGAGAGAGAGACTCGGGGGAGAAGGGATGTGAGAGGAACTGACCATCGAATGTGTAAACATTTAGAAAGTTGTGAGCTGAGAGTGCAGTAATAAGAAAAGGTACATGAGCGATGAACACATTGCAGAGAGAAGGGAATAAAGAGGGTGAGAAAAGAGAGAAGGGGGCTGGTTGTTTTATTGTTTACAAATTCATTCATGGGAATTACTGCTGCCAGAAAGCTGGCGCGCAGCGGCCAGGGTGTAACATTACACTGCGGTTTCTTTGATTATCTTTATCATCGGCTATTAGCACATTCCAAAATGTATGCAAATAACGGTTAACCGGAGCGAGAAATGCTAAACGGTTTTGATGAATGCGGTCGGATAACCGTCGGTTAAACGGTTTGACTCAGGCCTAGTGTGAAACTGTGATTGATTTGGCGATGCACGATTCGATTCAGAATACGAGCGCTGCACAACCGCTGCGGCACGCTATACACATACACTGTCACAGAGACTAGACCGTAGACGTACGTTCGTAAACAAGCTCAAGCCAGCGAACTCCGCTCGCAATAATTTAAAGAGGCCAGCTCCAGAGCTCGCTCTGCGTCCAAATGATCACCCGCATTGGCATTGCTATTTATACTTCGTAATCCTAAGTTAGATCTACCGTATTGTGAATAAAAAATGAAAATTTGTACTCATATGTACTCAGAACTTTGTCCAACACCGATATAATCCTTATATCTATTTGATAATTGTTTCAATACAACAACAAAAAGGTTTTTTTCTGGATCTTTTCTTTTCGTGTTGTAACATTTTTACTTTTACTTTTAGCGATCTATTTTACCGATTCGAAAAACAGAGGTGGCATATATTGCATATAAACGTTAAGCGCATGGCGATTGGAAGAAAAGTACCGAAAACTATTTTTTTTTTCGTAGGCCTAGAGTCTATAGAAATAATTATTAATTATTATTTTTTTTATTTTTTATCGCAAACGATTTTCTTCACTGACAAGGTCCTGTAAACGTCAGTTAACAGTTTTTGCCCAGGACTACCTTGTATCATTATCATGTAATTCAAAATTGTAGATTCATCACAAATATGATTGATTTATCAGAAACAATAATGGAGCATTTTCATTTCATATTGTATATCATATGAAAAGTAAGTTATTCAGCCAAAATATTCATGATCTTTATCATTAAACTATGGCTCATACAGTGTGGTCATATCTTCAAAAATAAGGCTAAGATAGCACCAGAGAGCATCTAAAACCCTAAAGCTTCCAGGGCCCTTGGGCGGGCCCTGGACCCCGGCCGCAAGGGACTTCGCGCTCGTGATGTGCGCTTCGCGCACATGGTGATGTGCGCTACGCGCACAGAGATTTTTCTTTTGCAATTTTAGTAGCCTCCTGTAAATCATAAATAGCCTGCTATCAGAAAAATTAACAAGAACCCTGTCTAGATCTAGACTATCACATTTTCCACCTGAATTTGGATCACATCCGAAATCGGAAAGCCTCCGTTTAAGGCTTCGATGTCGACGTCGTCGCTCAGTACCGTCTCTACGCTATAGCTTTGCAACTCAAACTGAAGCTATATCTAGATCTAGATCTAGATAGGTCTAGCCTAGATCTATATCAGTCCAAAATTATGCAAACTTCTTGTATGGTTTATGCATAGAGATATGATTGATTGTAGTCTAGACCTACATGTATATTATATTACGCGCATGCACGATACCATAACCCATACGAGAAGTTTAAAAGACATTTTGCCTGAAATACCATCAGGAAAGCCATCTAAATTTGTCACAAATTAGCGACAAACACACCAAATTCAGCGCTGCAATGACGCACAAAACGGCGTAGAATTCAACTTTTCATCCACCAAATGAATTCAGACACTTTCATTGTACAATCTAATAGGCCTAGATCTACCTACCTGTATCACCGTTATCGCAAATAATAAAATCACCTAGACCTATCTATAAGGTACTTGGTACTTGGTTGTTGTTCCTCCAAAATATTCCTAGGGGAATTTAAACTGGAGGTCGTGGTGGCAGAGGGTGGACTTATTTCGAGCAGGTTTCGAGGGTGGACTTTTTTGCTGAGTGACGTCAGTCAGGGATACTAATCAACTAATGCCGAATCGAGATCATTCCATGCTCTGAAGACTAACATTAACAATATGGTAGGGTATTCTGCCCGAAATAATTAGGCAGCCAATAATTAATAGAACCTAGCAAATATCTTACCAGAGCAATACAGCTTAATTAGCTCCCTTTTCACGTGTAAAGTGTGACTTTACGATCTCTACTACTAGTACTAGTCTACACGTGGCGCCGGTGTTGTCCTCTGATGGCACTTAACTTCCGTAATAATATTATGCTGCTAGCGCCGATAGCGCGCGTAGAGTATACTATATAGGAAATACAGCCAGGTGGTATTTGCCGGTACGTACGTTCGCGCGCTTCCGTTTTGTGAGTTGTTATGATTATGCAATGAAGAAAACCGGATACATGAGCTGACTGGAAGTGCACGTCACTACGTAAAGGAAATGTTGACGCCCCCTAATGAATATGCATTATGCTTGTGCCGACACGGCGTGTGTACTGTCCGTACACGCGCGCTGTGGATGCTATCTAGGCTATGACAACACATCTGGACTGCTGATTCAAGCAAGAGAATATTATGTATTTCACTACACTTGTCTACATCTACATCTAAGGTGGTACTGGACAGGACCAATTGGTATATACGTCCAGATTTCCGTGGCATCGCAAACTGTCAACAAACATCACAACTGATGCAAAGTTCAAAAAACAAAATAATAAGCCCTTACAAAAAAAATCTCTATGGTACACCATACAAACACCATAGCAAATCTACCATAGATTACCATACAAACACCATAGCAAATCTACCATAGATCTACCATTCATTTACCATAGAACTAATTAAAATAATTGGGACAAATTTATTCATTTATTCAAATTAGGCCACACCTACATATTCTACCATAGAGCCACCATTCATATACCATAGAGCCACCATAGAGTCATCATTCATTTACCATAGAGCCATCATTCATCTACCATAGAGCCACCATTCATCTACCATAGAACCACCATTCATCTACCACAGAGCCACCATTCATCTACCATAGAGCCACCATTCATCTACCATATAGCCATCATTCATATACCATAGAGCCACCATTCATCTACCATAAAGCCACCATTCATCTACCATAGAGCCACCATTCATCTACCATAAAGCCACCATTCATCTACCATAGAGCCACCATTCATCTACCATAGAGCCACCATTCATCTACCATAGAGCCACCATTCATCTACCATAGAGCCACCATTCATCTACCATAGAGCCACCATTCATCTACCATAGAGTCACCACTCATCTACCATAGAGCCACCATTCATCTACCATAGAGTCACCACTCATCTACCATAGAGCCACCATTCATCTACCATAGAGCCACCACTCATCTACCATAGAGCCACCATTCATCTACCATAGAGCCACCATTCATCTACCATAGAGCCACCATTCATCTACCATAGAGCCACCATTCATCTACCATAGAGCCACCATTCATCTACCATAGAGTCACCATTCATCTACCATAGAGCCACCATTTATCTACCATAGAGCCACCATTCATCTACCATAGAGCCACCATTCATCTACCATTCACTACCATTCAAAATACGCAACAAAATGTTAAGCTTAATTGTAGCATTTTGAAATGGTATATTCAGAATGGTAGTTTGGATCTTGATCTATGGTTAGCAGAATGGTGGCTGTAGTGCGTTCTATAGTACACAGAATGGTGACTATAATATATTGAATTTTTGAGAAATCTAAACTTAAATGTTAACTTACAATACACACATGATGCTTATTAAAAAAATGAATTGAATGAAAGTGGCAGGATGTATTTGGTTTATATCAAAAGTTGTATGCATGTACATATGCTAAAAACTAAAATAAAAGGCAAGTAAAAAAAATATATCACATAAACATGTACACTACAAACTAAAATGAAAGGCAAGTTCGTAATTGCAACACATATTACTTGGACTTATTCTACTAAGATGTAATAAATACCCACATATATATCACCCTAGTTCCTCTAAATAATCGGCAAGTTAAAAAGAAACAACTGAAATGTCACATACAGTGTGTACGTAAACATGACTAAAATGAAAGGCAAGTTAAAAATATATAAACATGTACAATAAAAACTAAGGCACTGAGTTGCAGCACAGGATTGTTATAAAACATTGTATAAACATGTACAATAAAAACTCAAATGAAAGGCAAGTTCATAATTGCAACACATATTACTTGGACTTATTCTACTAAGGTGTAATAAATACCCCCATATATATCACCCCAGTTCCTCTAAATAACTAAAATGTCATATATAGTGTGTATGTAAACATGACTAAAATGAAAGGCAAGTTAAAAATATATAAACATGTACAATAAAAACTAAGGCACTGAGTTGCAGCACAGAAATGTTCTAAAACATTGTATAAACATGTACAATGAAGTTCAAGTCAAAGAGGTTGTATATGTGAGTTCGAAGAGGAGCAGAAAATACAAGCCTTGCTGCTCATTTTTGGAGTCTCTGAAGGCGATCAAGGTCCCTCTGGCTGAGAACAACCCTTTCTATACTCAAACTGTTTACATGATTTTGATAGACCTTCTGTGTCAAACAATCTCCCCTGTATCGATCGGTATCACTACCCCCACCCCATGATTCGATGTGTAACCTCGTCTATGCCATGTTCCATCGTAGGGCACTGCCACGTCCACATGATCATTTTCCCTGATGGTCAGATCCTTGTCCATGGCCCTTTGACGTAGGCATGCTGCCACCTTCTTCTTCTGATCCTTACTGGTCTGCAAAAAAAAAAGAGTTTGTAATAAATAACAAGTAAATTTCAAGTTCCCTCAGGCCCCTTACTTATTAGACCCTATTACAAATATTTAGATTTGATTAATTTTCATCCCTTGATTTGACAAGAAGGGATATTGATGTACATGTATTATACTGTCTATCGACCATAACTAAGAAATAAAAATATGTTTGGATTAAATGTACGTACAGCTAAGATAATGTAATGAAGAAAACACAAGGCTGGTGACTAACCTCTTGGGATAAGGAAGATAAAGTGGCTATGTGCCTGTTGTAGCTAGGAGCTTCGACTAGTGGGGCTGTTCCGAGGATGGTCAGCAAGTCGCACAAGCTATCCCGTGCCAAACCAACCTCCGTTGCTGCCAGAGTAGCTCTGCGGTTTATTTCTGCAGACTTTCCACGTCCTTCGCATTCATTTTCTGATGAAGAGAATGTCCTCTCCTTCTTGCAAATGAAGCAACCAAGGACCATGGCGCAGTTCAACCCATTCCTCTTTGACAAATTCTCCAGAGGAATGAGATGCCCTGTAAAAGATATCCAAAACACTTGATGGAACAGGGAAAATATTTTGAAAAGCACAATCCCCAAATAATAACAAAGTGCTAGTTATGACATACATGTAGTATATTACACAAATACACATTTTCACAGATTTCACGACAATTCCGATGCCCCCACTTCGATTCACCATAGAGTAAAGGAGGGGTTTTTCGGCCACTTAAGACAAAATCCTATTTTTTGGACTCTTTACTTCCTATTTATTATCATTTCTTGTTCAAATCATGAAGCAAATACTATTATTATTTAAACAAAGAAAGAATCCCAGAAAAAAAATCATGAATTGCCATGACAACATTCATTTCAATTTTCACTGTTTCGGAGGTAGTTTTCGGCCGCATGTACAAAGTCAATAGGAAGCAAGCAAGCGCGCCATGCGTTTCCCCACTGATCTATAGCACTAACGGCTGGAGCAGGTATCCCAAGCCGGAGCTTCCCGTGCTGAAAACTATCTCTGCGGTGATCAGAAATTGGAATCTGAATTAGACAGAGATATCGTGTGTGCGCTGCGGTATCCGGCTGCATTGATTAAATACATGCGATGAGATACTTTTGAGCTTGCGACTCACACAAAATCGGACTCTAAATCTGAAAAATACTTGAAATAAAGCTCACTTTATGGTACCCATAGGCCTATTCCTTACACGCTTAAGATACTTAATTTTTCAGATTCTGGGAGCGGGACCGCCGATTACATCGCTAAAATGTGATATTTTAGGATATATTTTCCATTGCAAATGTGGTTCTTCAGTGACTCTGGCATGGTATGGTATGTGTGGGATATATGATATGCTGTTATGCGATGGATTTTACAGGGATTTTACCATGCATCCAACGGATCGGCCGAAAACTGGTGATGGTCGATTACCCCCTCCTTTACTCTATTCTTAATCATTTGATTTGGCTTTTTGAGCCATTCACCCCTTGAGCATGCAATACAATCTCAAAGTAATTACAGTTTGCAAACTAAAAATATTGTTTGATAGTAAGTACATACCTCCCAGACACACGTGAGCCTTTTGCAAAGCAGCTGCAAGTTGTGGGCCACTAATGACGTGGATCTTCACATGTGGGACCAGGGCCAAAAATAGGGCTGTCCAAACACTTATTCAGGGAAAGTTTCCTCGATCTCTGAATTAGCTGTTAGTTCTTCTGGCACCTCTCTAGCATTCATGTTACTCTTCTGTAATATCTGGTAATGATCTCCTTTGAACACCTTCCTCTTCCTCACATATTTTGGAGTTTTGCGAAGCATTTTCAGTGAGTAAAAATTGGAGACCAACGGCTAGAAGAGTTATTCAAATCTTGGGCACAAGGTGGCAGCAAACAGCCCTTGTTATCTACTTTCTGCTGATATACATTACTTGTTACAATTTGGTTTAGAATTTTTTATTTAATGATTTCTTTAATTGATTGTGACTAATTGAGTGCAAACAGAGGCAGTGGAGCGACTTCCTAAGTGTGGGGGGGGGGGTGCCGGGGGGGGGCACCAACAAAAAGGGCACTTTCTGGAGAAAATAAATAGGGCACCTACAAAGGGAAATCTCACAGCGAAAATATATATTAAAAAAAAAAACATTTGTATATACCCCCTATATTGTGATTAGATTATCAGGGATGATTTCAATATTTTTGTTATCTTTATAAATAAGAT